CACACACACACACACACGATGCGCAAAACTCCGCATTTGAACAGTCAATAGCAAATACTTAAACTAGTAACAAAACATACTTACAGTCGCTGATTCAGAAGCGCCAGATTGTCATAGCAAAGTCAGAATTACCTCCTCTCCTAGGTTCACGAAACGGTCGTCCATAAAATGCATTGCTGTTCTGTTGTAAGTATCTTAAAGATTCCTAAATGCATCTACTTCTGGAAGGCCAAATAAAGTGCTTTTGCTTTTGCCTAGAAACACACAGCGTCTCCCTGACATGGCTGCTTCAACACTAACTGCGGTTACTGAAACCACGCCTTCTTTCTTTGCATGCACATTTGGGCGCATTATGCAAATATTCCCACATAGTGACCTAGATATGTGGGGGCGTGTTAGAACGAGCCGTTTTAGGGGGGCGTGGCAGAGTCTTAACTTTGATAAAGAATATCTCTTTGGTTTTGAGACTTTAGTCTTTGCAACTTTAGAGATCTTATCTATTCATGAACAGCTTGTAACACTCCAAAGAGAAAGGAAAACTTGAAATCGTATCATATGACCCCTTTAAGGGGACACGCAAAATGTGCAGTGTTGGGGGGAACTCCAGGAACGTGGTTGGGAACCACTGCTCCAAACCTCTTGTCCTTCATAAGGTCGCGTGGAAGCCAGAGCCTATTCCAGCATCTCGGGCCAAAGGAATGGAAACAGATGGATGACCAGTTCAACATGAACTACTTTTGCTGGCCACAATACTCTAAACTCAAAACACAACTCTCTCATTTGTGTGACTTTTTATTTATGCTTTGGAATTTTACAAGAAAGGAAGGAGCTATAAAAGAGCAATAGCGTATTCTCTTCAATGTTAAAACATCCTATAAACTATTAATGCAACAGATTTCTTTTCTTTTTACACATTTAGTTTTTCAGAGACACTGCTGTTGGAGGCAAAGGGTTGTGGTGAATGTGTCTCTAGGCAACAGGGCTGGTGAAAGCCATCAGTTCTCCTAAAAGAGTCAGAGTTATGCTTGAATGCCTTGGGTGAAAAATTGAGTTCTGACAAGGGCTTTCTTGCATCAAGTGTCAAATACTATGAAATGAATTCCCTTCAGAATTGTGATTGTATTGTACATTGTACAAGGCTTATTATATGCAACATAATGAAGAACCCCATTCATATAGTTTGTCTTGACAGCAGGGTTTGATATGATTAGGGGGTAGACTGGGGCTGATAACCAAAAGGTTGTAAGTGTTAAGACCCAGGAGACGTTTTGATGCATGAAAAAGAGCAACTAAAACTTTCTGCAAAATAGAGCATGCCACCACTGGCTGTTGTCAGTGCCACATTTGCATGTGTGAGAAATGTATATTTTGAACACCTTGTTCTGCTGTGGTGTGTTAAAATAGCCCAGGGCCTGGATGGAAAGTTTTTGTTTAGTACGTTAGTGGTATTGTAATATTAAATACTTGAGTGCTCCCTTTCGTTTTGGCTCTTATTTGAATTGAGCTGCTGGTACCTTTGACCTTCATGTGAACTCCCTTTGAACGTAACACAGAGCTTAAGCACTTCACAGTGTTCATCTCACACACATTAAAGTGCAGAGTGTGTGACAACAGCCACCTCTGCTCTCTCTTGGGTTTCAAGCACACATCAAAGCCTGTCTCATCTGTGTGGAGGGGCTCTGGTGGATTGAAGGGTGGCCCCGTCATTTGTCAACCAGACACTGTGGTTTCTCTGATATGGAGTGACCCACATATTAGCAAGGCATTGACATTGAGATCAAACAGACAGGTAGTCTGCACATAGGCATAGGCAAATCTGACAAAGGTGTCCTTGAATGGTTGTGAAGGTGATTGTTAGGGTGTTCCATAAGGCCACTAGGGTGTTGATATGCAGTTGCAAGGGGGTTCTGGGGGGTGGTTATGTGGGTTCTTAGGAGTTCTGGGAGGTCACTAGGGCATGGTAAGGCAGTTGCTAGGATATTGATATCTGGTTTCTAGAGTGTTCTGGGTGGTTGCCTGGACATTGATAGACAGTTGTCAGTGTGTCTTGAGTGACTGCTAAGGTGTTGTTAGAATGTTGCTAGGGTGTTATGGGTGGTTGCTATGGGATCACAGATCTAGAGTTCAGGGGATTGCTAAGCATAGGGTGTAATCGGTTGTTATGGGTAGTTTCTATGGTGTTTTAATGCAGTTGCTATGTTTTTTGGGGGGTAGCTAAGAAGTTATAAGGGTGTTGTTAGATGGTTGCTAGAGTGTTATTGGTGGTTGCTAGAGTTTTCTGCGAGTTGGTAAACATTATGAAGTTGATAGGCACAGTCAGGGTGTACCGGGTGTTTATTATGGTGTTAGGTGGTTGGTAGGGAATTATGGGTGGTTTCTATGGTGTTCTGGGTTGTTGGAGTTGTTGAGGCTATTATTAATGTGTACTAGGTGGTTTCTAGGGCATCGTTAAACACTTGCTGTGGTTTTCTGGGGGTAGCTAAGCAGTTAGGGTGTTGTTAGATGGTTTATGTGGTGGTCTTGGTTCCTAGGGCATTGTTATGCAGTTTCTAGAGTTTTCTGGGGGTTGCTATGTATCAGAGTGCTGCTAGGCACTTAACAGGGTCTTCTGGGTGGCTGTTATGGTGTTAGGTGGTTAATAGGGCATTATGGGTGGTTTATAGTGTGTTCTGGGTGGTTGCTATGGCATGGCAGTTTTTTTTTGGGGGGGGGGTGCTGATAGGGTCTTCTGGGTGGCTGTTATGGTGTTAGGTGGTTAATAGGGCATTATGGGTGGTTTATAGTGTGTTCTGGGTGGTTGCTATGGCATGGCAGTTTTTTTTTGGGGGGGGGGTTGCTGATCATAGGGTCAGTTGCAAGGGTGTTATCAGTGGTTTTTAGGTTGTTGTAATGCAGTTGCTGTTGGGTGGGTGTTCTGGGTGGTTTCTAGGGCATTGTTAGCCACTTGGCGTGGATTTCTGGGGGTGGCTAAGAAGTTGGGGTGCTGTTAGATGGTTGCTAAGGTGTTCCTAAGGTGTTTGTGGTGCATTGCAAGGCATTTGTTAAGCATAAAGGTGTTGCTAGGCACTTACCAGGGTGTTCCGGGTGTTTTATGGTGTTGCTGGGGCGTTATGAGGGGTTTATAAGGTGTTTTGGGTGGTTGCTAAAGCATTGTTTGGAAGTTGATAGGGTTTGCTGGGAGTTGCTAAACAGTTGCCAAGGTGTTCTAGGTAATTGTTTACTAGCCCAAGTCAAAAAGCCCACCTCTGATTCTTTATTATATTTTGATTTCTAGATATAACTTGGCCCCCTCCTTCAGTGTCCTTCAAATTAATTGTTGTAAATTCTGCTTCATGTTGCCTTTAAAAATCTTACTGTGTAAGGCCCGTTCATAAGCAATGGATTCTCATCTCCATTAATCATTCTCTTCTCTTTCTTTGTGAAAGATGAGAGCAGTTTGAAGATGAACCATGTGGATCACATTCCTCAGACACTGGCCAGCCATGGCCCCGTCCCAGCAGAGACCCACACCCGCAGCCAACACGGCGCCGATATGCTGCAACCAGACCCCCGCGACACCTTCTTCAACAGTAAGGCTCTATCTGTCTGTTCAGGTCCGCTTTCCAGTCCCCTTTTATTTGATTCCTCTGTCTCTCTGTTGCTATTGAGTTCACTGAAATAGTTGTTCTTCTTTTGTGTTTTGTATTTGTGTTCCTGAATGACAAATATTGTATGAAAGGAAAATTTGATAATGTGCCTTTGGTAAATCTGGTCTTTCTCACAATACTCTATAGTTCCCATGATTGACCCCACTCATCTTGAAAATGTGTTGCCCGCCTGTCTCTACTCGCCAACATATGTGGTCAAAGACTTCCCTATCGCTCGCTATCAAGGCCTACAGTTTGTGAGTTTAACAAACATATATTTCTGCACACATTTTGACAAATAGTACAACAGAAAATGCCTTTTGAGTAACAATGCACTTGCACCTGTTGCCGTATAGACTTGCTGCTGTAAAGTACTGAAACCTCCTGTGCGATTACTGCCCCCTTTTGGCTGACAAAAGTAATTGCAGGCATACCATAAAAGCCAATTAAAAGCGCATAAACAATTAAGATTAAGGTGAGAGCAATTATAAACAGGAACATTTACACAACATATCATCAATTATCATCTTTATATTATAATTTTGTATTTTGTTTATCGCTGAAAATCATTCAAATTACTGCATCAAATGAAGAAGCAAACATTTGTTTTGACAAATCAGACTTCACAATGCTGCATTTTAGAGGGAGTATGATTTTTTTTTCTATATCCCACAATGCAGTGTGCTTAACTTGACCTTCCATTTGCAGTAAGTGAACCTGGAACAGTATAGACTTTTAATGTAATTTGAATACCAAAGGTAAAGACATTATACACAAAGTTAATTAAAATTCCAAAATTACGGTTTTTGTTTCCTGAGAAGAAAACTCTACCACTTGCCTAGTTAAAAAAGTAAGAAATATTGAAATGTATATTGTTGCATACTTTCACATGTTATTTTTCAAAAGAATTGTAGGCAGCATACAGTACAGTATATGCTACACACTACACTTTTATCTAGTATTTCAACATTTCAAGTTAATTATCGGGGTTGTCATGTCTGGTGTTTTGTCTGCAGGTCTATCTTTCTTTTGTCTATCCCAATGACTTCACCCGCCTCACCCACATGGAAAGAGAAAACAAGTGTTTCTATAGAGAGTCGCCCATCTATTTGGAGAAGTAAGCTTGTGTATAGATTGTAATGACATTAAATATCTATCTATCTATCTATCTGTCTATCTGTCTGTCTGTCTATCTATCTATCTATCTATCTATCTAATTTTGAATTGAAATGGTTACTCTGAATCGCGTATGACCACTGAAACAGAGATGAATAAATACATTTCTCTAAAACTCTATATTTCTCTTTCATGGACTCGATCTTTCTCTCTCCATCTCTCTCTCTAACAGGTTTGGCTTCTATAAATACATGAAGATGGATGAGGAGGAAGATGACGGGCCATTTTTCTTCCCTAATCCTGATGGTGAGTTTTCATGTGTGTGATCAGTGATCCAGAAGAGGAATAACACTTCATTAGTGCATCGTTCCATCACAAGCTGCTTTATTAGAACGTGGCAGATATATTCATCAGAAGATAATGGCCTTGGGTTGGAGCCAGAAAAGAAATGAATTGCTGGAGTTGTGCTTATTTTCAAAGGGTTAAGGCAACGAAATGAAAATTGCTGCCGAAAGGTGTTTTCATATCAAGATAAACTGAAAATAAATACATTTACTGGAATCATCATTTGAAATCTTTTCAGAAAATTCTGATATCAAAATAGAACTACATGTTGTTTAGGTAGCAACTCTGATGTTTTTGGTAACATCCTGAACTGTAAAAAATTATTTAAACAACTTTACAGATCAAATAGTGCATGTTTTGACAAAAACAACAAGTCTGAACAAGAACGGAAGACCGGCTGAATGAAAATGCAAATTCACTCTCTGCCAGTAGGTGGCACTTATGGAAAGCAGAAATACAGCGGTTACCATAGTTACAAAGTATACAAAGCAGCATTGCACTTATAAACACTACTTTATTAGACATAACAAGTTAAGATGAAAAGAAAATGCCATCAGAACTTTTCAGAAAACTGTCAGTTCCCTTAGATATACATTCGTATACCCATATAAACTCCTCCGATTTCTAAAAATCATGTGAATGGCCTATTTCAGTGTCTGAAAGTTTTGTTTTGCGAAAAGGCGACAAGTTTGCAGGTATGGTATATCTGTCCAATTTCACAATGCCTATTGCAGGGTCTCTCAAACATATTGCAATTCCAGTAGGTGCCACTTGTAGAAATTTCATACTACAGTTTTAAAGTCTTGGTATGAATAGGCCTAAAAGTTGCATATTGCCGGGAAGTACTTTTCAAGGTCTTATATAAGCTCTCTTTGTGAGGTTAACCTCAACTGGTGGAGGAACACTCAAAGTGTCTGTTTTTGGTGTTTTTCTTTAGATTTTCTTGAAGAAGAAGAGGGTGTGGATCCAGAGGATGAAGCACAAGTTGTTGGCACCCAGTCAGCAAAGAAAACTGCCCAACCTAGCCAATCAAATCATACATCAAGTCCCTCCGAAAAATCTGATCCCACAATGCTGGAGAAAAAAGAGGTAGAGCCGGACAACCCAACTTCTAGGAGAGAGCAAAGGCGCTTTTTCACAAGAGCAAGGCAGGTGGTTGGGTCTCAACCTCAAGAGACGGACCAAGACACTCTGGACCGTCAGGCTAAGGTAGGGTTACCAAAAAGTGAGAGTGTGGTGCGAGGTCGTTCTCTCACTTGGGTTCAAAGAGACCGCCGGGACTTCAGAGAAGGTTGGTCAGAAGATCGTGCACCTAAAATAAGCAGATCAACTTTGCTATTCCCACTAAAATCCTCATTGGTGGCCCTTAACAGTCAAGCCAAGCAAACCCTCAGCAGTCCTGCCCACACCGTTCCTTCCCCAGGTAACAAACATGCTCATGACAACAGCCACAATCCTGGAAACAGCCACACCAACAAGGAACGCAAGAAGGAGGACAACAAAATCTACGTCACAAGACCTCGCCCTGCTAAGGAAAAGCAAAGTCCTGTTTCACGCCAACACAGAGAGGTCTTCCCTGGTGTTTTCCTGTACCAGAACAGCAAAACCACAAAGCTGGTGAACCTCAGTGCCAAACCAAAGCTCAGTAAAGGAGCTCTGCGTGCATCCCAGTTAATTGTGCGGTCTCCTCTGCAAGAGAACAAGGTCTTTCCAGCGAGCCCAAACTTCAGCAAGCCAGCTGAAAATTCCATGCCCCCAAACAGAGCAATCCCAAGCCGCTTTGAGAGGAGGATACGAGGGGTCTGGGAAAAACACCAGCATCCCTTGAGGCCCATCACAACCGCTCGACCACCTCCTGCTCCCACCCCTCCATCCACTAACTCCTCTGAGAACGTGCTTCCGACCGAGCCTCTCCGTGTCACTTCCTACTTGCACACCTCTAAGATAACCGAGTCCCAACAGCGGCGACCGGACACTGACCCAGAACCAGAGGAGGACGGAGGCCTATCAGAGTATAGCTATGAGGATGTGGAGCCTCGCCCCGGGTGGGCAGAGGAGGCCATTAATTGGCAGAGGACGTTTTCCGTCAATAGCATGGACTTTGAGACATTGCGCTCTGACTGGAATGATCTTCGTTGCAACGTGTCTGGAAACCTGCAGCTATCTGAGAGCGAAGTGGTGGACGTACTTGCGCAGTACATGGAGAAACTCAATGAACGCAATGGAGGGTGAGGCTGATACATCAAATATATTAGTTTCTGATATATCGGTAAAATATAAGTATTCACACATTATATTTTTATATGTATATCTTTGGTGATTTTTTTTTTTTATGTTTTCTGCTGTGTAACTCTACTGCCATTTGGCGATACAGAGACATTTAATTCATACACATTTAATTCACAATATATCGGTAAATATCAGTTTTCTCACAGTTTATGTGTTTTGACATATTTTTTTATTCATTGTTACATTCCTTTACAGTTTCTCTTCCTTGTCTGTCTAGTTAGTGATACAGAGGATTAGAATAATTACTGGAAAATGGACAGCTTACATTTTATATATTTTACACATTTAATTGGAAAATATTACTAAAATATTGGTAGTTACAGTGTGTATTTAAATTCTTTTTTTTGTTTTTCATTTATTGTTAAAGTTCTTTTTCCTTGCTGAATATCTATTTGTCAATACAGAAAATTATTGTAATTACTCTTTTAACTGCATTCATACACATTTCACTTATATAAAAATATCGGTGTCCGGTTTGTACACAATGATTGTATTCTTTTTTGTTGTTGTTGTTCTGCTGAAAATAATTGCTGATTGCTGATTGATAATTGCTTTGCAAAATATTTGTAAAATATTTGTTTTCAGTTTCTTTTTCCTCTCTAACTGTACAGCTATTTAGCAATACTGTAATGCTCTTGAAAATGGGCACCTTACCATTCATACACATTTAAAATTGCACCAGTGGTGCATATTTCAAGTAAACGCACAACCACTCACTCCACCATTTAACCTTTTTTTTCCCAAAAAAAATGTATCTTCCTTTCTCAGGATTTACACTCTCCTCCGCATCATAAACGTAGAAAAGCGGCGTGACTCTGCACGCGGTAACCGCTACCTAATAGAGCTGGAGCTAATGGAGAGAGGCCGTAAAGTGGTCCGTCTATCTGAGTACATCTACTTGCTGTTGCACCGTGGCCGAGTGGAAGACAGTCTGGAGAATATGGAAGGGGTCACAGCATCATCCCTCTCTTCCCCTTTCGCCAGCCCACCTGCTCCACCCTCCCACACACCTACCCATGGGGCCCACGGCACCCCACAGTGGAGCACAGTGTATGCCAAACCCCTGCTGTGCCAGCCAGTGATGCTGCAGTGGAAAAAGGACGTCATGGTGCATTTTGTGGTACCAGGTAATAATAGCTAAATATCTATCTATTTTTGTGAAACTATGTACCCAGATGAGTGAGTCTTAATCTTTTATCACCACAACTCAGGGATTGTCAACTCTGACCCTCAAGGTCCATATTCCTGCAGAGTTTAGCTCCAACCTTGTTCAAACTCACCTGCTTGTAACTTTCTAGTAATCCTGAAGAATTTACTTAGCTTGTTCAGGTGTGCTTGATTAGGTTTGGAGATAAACTAAATATATCTCCAATTTTTTTTTGCATGATATGATTTCTTTAAATGCCACCTTGTTTGAGGTTTTTTTTATGTAATGCACTGACGTTCATAAATTTTAAAGTGCGACTTAAGTGTCTAAATACCTCTTGGGGCCACTATATTTTGAAATTCAAATCTAGGTGGGGACCTGGTTTGTTTTTCATGCTTGTTTTTAATTTTTCAATGTATTTTTATGTTGCAATGAATTCGAAAGGTTTTGCATGGTGGGTTACTTTTGATTGGCAGATATGTACTTTTGATTGCCTGTTCTGAAATGCCATTCTTGTACGTGGAATCTGTCACAACTAGCCTTAGTAGAACAATACATCTACAGTTTGGATTTGTTTAGCAGAAACTCAAACTACAGGCAACTGGTTTACATAACACTCACTCGAAGATGGTTGGTTTAATAGAACTGTATTAAAGGAATAGTTAAATAGGAAAATGAAAATTTTGCTGAAAATGTATGCACACTCAGGCCATCCGAGATGTAGATGAGTTTGTTTCTTCATCAGATTTGTAGAAATGTATCATTACATCACTTGCTCACCAATGGATCCTCTGCAGTGAATGGGTGCCATCAATGAGAGTCCAAACAGCTGATAAAAAGCATCACATAAACAATATTTGAAGAGTTTGGTTCCAAAACGCGATAAACGCCATTTTAAAAAAAAAATTGAGTTTCCGCCAAAATCAGTATTGTATCTGGTCGGTATTGAAAAGTCAATTTTTTATTTTACGCAAAATGCGACATCCGTTATTCTGTCATGTTTTCTCCCTTTCTTTCCAAACCACGACAAACGGATTTATAGCGTTTTGGAACCAAACTCTTAATTTTACACAAGTTTCTCATGTCTTTAACACAATTCAGTAAAAACAAAATACATTTTGGCTTAATAGGCCAACTGGGACAACTGGGGAAAAAAGTCCACAGATGTAATGTACGTATATAAACTAAAAATGAAGCTCTTAACTCCTTGTGAGTATAAATTAAATATTTAAAATAAATTACATTTATAGAACAGCATAATCATATATTTTTTGCCTTGTCTGAAGTGTTAAAAACAATAACAGCTATATCATATAAATACTGATACAAGTAATTTTTTGTGTGATGCAAATAAAGAGCAAATCTTTGTTTGGATCTTTGATATGGCTGATGTATGAATATTATGTATTATGGTTATTATTATGTATTATTATTATTATTATTATGTATTTGTTGATTTGTTTCCTATAGTTAAGAATCAGGCTCGTTGGGTTCAGCAGTTCATTTCAGACATGGAGTTCCTGCACCGTGAGACCAAGGACAACAACTTCAACATCATCATCGTGGACTTCCAGAGTGAAGACATGGACGTGGAACAGGCTCTCAGAGAAAGCTCCGTTCCACGGTACACTAACACACGCTTATGGTGTGTTCAAGTCATGTCGGATAGATCGTATTTACGAGTTGAACGCACATGAACGCCACCACAAAGTCGTTATTACGAGTGGGAAACTCGAAATTTTCTTTAAGCCCTGAGTTTCCGAGTTGGGGGCGTCAATGAGAAACATGGCGGAATCGATGTCTGTAGTTGACGGTAAATTTTTGTTTAAATTGATAGTTTAGTTGTCCTATAAACTTAAATTGGTCATGTTCTTGTTACGCAGCTGAAATCCAAGTAAAAAAATGCAGACCCTGTTGTATTTTCTTGTAATTTATTAAAAGAAGGTACACCGCCATCTTGTGCTGACTAAACTGACTTGAACGCACCTGACGTCTAATTACGACTCCCAGGAGGACTTGAACGCAGCATTATACACAAACTTTGCTAAAATATTTGTTATATAGAAACATGCATATGTGGGTAGTTGATGTGTCTTGCTCTCTGACATGCTAAACTCTTTCTAAAACTATTTTATTGAGAGACTAAATATATATTTTAATATATATTCTTAAATATGCAAATAATAAATATACATTTTGTATATATGTATATATATATATATATATATATATATATATATTCAGCTGCCCATTAATGTATGTAGCATATAAACATAGAAGCATGTTACTATTGTATATATATATATACTGTGTATATATATATATATATATTTCTGGACTTTTTTGGACACAGATATGAGTATCTGAGGAGGGAAGGAAACTTTGAGCGGTCTGCCGGGTTACAGATTGGTGTGGACACCATAGAGGTAATCATACACTCATAGATTATCGGATTGCAAATCGGATTTATTATAATTCCAAAATGACACATGGTAGATTTTCAGACGACTTCAGTAATGTTTCATTTGTGCATTAAAGTGTCACTTTATATGGTAACGTGCATAATGACACATAAATCGTTCCTGTTGCTCAACTGTTGCATCTAGGAATGCAGAGGTCATGGGTTTGATTCCCAGAAATCGTATGTGCTGATGTAAAATGCTTTGGGTAAAGTGTGAAATACATTTTTAATATAAAGACATTATCAATATTATCAAGACTAAATGTTTAGGAAATACTGTATAAAGAAATGTATATTTAGTTGCCTAAGTACCAAGATTCAGGGTTTTTTTTACATGAATTTACAATCAATTGGTAAAAGATGCATCTTTCATAAAATGAAAATAATGAGCCTGACAAAGACGTAAATGTTTGTTTTGTTAACTCACACATGACGCAGCATTATTTCACATACAGCGATTAAACCTGTAACCTCAACGTGACTGTGATTATCAGTGAATCACTTTGCAGAGACACGTCGGATGAGGTTTGAAGCGTTTCTAGGAATCCTTCTCGTGTTAATGAGTGTATAAATGTGGCTGGTGATTCATAGCTGTAACTTCGAAAACAAAGATGACGAGCAGGATGTGTTTAATCAGTCATTTAACTTTGTACTGCAGCAGTGTGGGCTGAGTTTTGCTGATGTGTGTTTGCAGGAAAGTCACAGTATCGTGTTTCTGTGTGACCTGCACATTCATTTCCCTCTGAACATCCTGGAGAACATCAGGAAGCACTGTGTGGAGGGCAAACTGGCCTTCGCTCCGATAGTCATGAGACTGGGCTGCGGCAGCTCACCGCAGGAGCCTGATGGTATGACACATCTGACACACATGCTGAAACACAGCCGCGGTCACCCCACACGTCTTCTGTGTCTGCAGGTTACTGGGAGGTGAACGGCTTCGGCCTGTTTGGGATCTACAAATCAGATTTTGACAAGATTGGTGGGATGAACACAGAGGAGTTTAAGGAACGATGGGGAGGAGAAGACTGGGAACTACTAGACAGGTAGAAGCACTTTACAGTGAACAAGTTTATTTTAAAGTATTCATTCATTTTTGCAATACAATTTATGATATTATTATTATTAGGAATTATTATGATAATGATAATACCTTAGTTATTTATGATAATTTAGAGACTTTGACTGTGATGTTTTTGTTAGTATTATAATTAATAATAATTATCATAATAATATGTTAAATATGTTATTATTAATATTGTTATTAAAATTATGATATTGAAATATTATTTTGTTGTTAATAATAATAATAATAATAATCAGTATTATTATTATTATTAATAATTATTATGATAATGGTATTATATCAATTATTTATGATAATTTAGAGACTTTAACAGTGATGTTTTTTATTATTATTAATAATAATAATTATCATAATAATGATATGTTAAATATCATGTTATTATTAGGAATTATTATAATAATGTATATAATAATGTTAAAATGTGTGTATTATTTATGATGATTTAGAGACTGACTGTGATGTTATTGTTAGTATTATTATTATTATATGTTAAATACATATAATTTTATTCATATTCTTATTAGAATTATGATTTTCACAGTGATGTTATTACTGTAGTAATAATCTTCATTATCATCAATCATATTAAATACGTATTATTTTATTTATTGCTAAAGCAATTATGATATCGAATTGAGAGATTTTGACAGTGACAATATTATTGTTGTTGTTTTTAATAATAATAATAATAATAATAATGTTAAATAATAATTGTATTAATATTATTTAAATTATACTGAATTGAGAGTGATTTTGACAGTGACATTATTATATGTTATTCCTATATATTAAAAAATATGATTTTTATTCATATTAAAATTATGATATTGAATTAAAAGAGATTTTGACAGTGATGTTGTTGTTATTTTTATTATTATTAATAATATTTTTAATAAATAAATGTTAAATAAAAATAAAAATGATTTTAAAATTGTTAATTGTTAATATCTATATAAAATGTTAATATTGAATTGACAATTGACATTATTTTTGCCGTTATTATTATTAATAATAATAATAATCATGTTAGTATTAATAATAATACAAAATTATATTAGTTAAATTATAGTATTGAATTAAGAGAGATTTTGACTGTTGATTGTTGTTAATAATAATAATAATAATAATGTATTATTATTATTATTATTAATCATACTCAATTGAAATTAAGTATTAATTGAATTAATTGAATTATAAATGATTACAAATGGGGGGGGGGGCATTTTATGAAAAGGAAATGTATTACATTATTGAGTTAAATTAATCTCTCTATCTCTCTTTTTCAGAGTTCTACAAAACGGTCTGGAGGTTGAGCGTTTAAGATTGAGAAACTTCTTTCACTACTATCACTCTAAAAGAGGCATGTGGAACTCACAGTCCAGTAAAGCTCCTAAAGGATAAAACTGAACCTCACTGAGAGACTACAAACTAACTCAGCACAAGATCGGGACCTTAAAGGACCAATCGATTGTGTCTCTGGGACCCTTTCGTGAGGTCCGTCTCATACAGGAGGACCCGTGACACTGCCAAGCTGCTGTCCAAACTCAACACTCGAAAGAGACACAGAGACTCTTATTCACTGAGCGTGTATTTGTATGTTTCTCTGTCTGTTAAGTCAGGAGTTCTTTTGGTAAGCAAACTTGAGTGATCATTGAAGAGTTAAAGGAAAGGGAAATTGTTTCAATTTTACTCCAAACTAGCAGCTCAGGCACTTTGGGTCACATAAATATGGTTTGCACTTAAGATATTAATGCTGAAATGATTGTCTAAAGGTTTAGATGTGCGCTGGTACTTAGACGTCTGCTTTTATATAGCTGTAAATGTCACTTCCTGTTCAGATGTGACGCCTTCTTACACTTGGACTGTAGAAATTATCTGATATGTGGCGCCTCGTGTGGCTTTTCCTTTCTAAAGTCCTGCTGAACTTCCGGACACGACTGGACCAAGAACAGCCTGCTGAGCTATGAAATTAAAATGATTTGTCTTTTTATTTGTCTGTATGTCTGAGCTGCTTCGTTTCCTTGTTTCCGATTGATTTTCGTCTTTATTGGCTAGTTTCACAGATGCAAACCTTTCAGACTGCTGTTTCAGTCTGGGCTTTAGACTAGACGTAATCTCTGTCCCACTGATGCAGTATCCATTTCTACAGAGTTTAACGGTAGGGAAAAAAAGATGTTCTCCAGAAGCTGTGTGCCTTTCTTTGATGTAATTGAACATGGCAGTCCATACAGGGTTAGGAAGGAGTCCTGATGTTTAGCCGTCTGGATTGTGTAAGTCCCTGAATAGTGATGTGTTATGGAGATGAATGAATAGTAGAAGATGTTTAGAAAGAAAATATTTGTTCAGAATAATCTAATAGCTTTTTTAATTGAATTTTAGACTTGTCCAAAGTTTTCACTATCACTTGGTCCATTGTTCAAGAAATGTTCCAGTTTATTTTCTCTCTCAAAGGTGCATCTTTTACCACAGAAAATAAGACTCCTGCAGTTTGTAAAGACAAACAGTAGGCCTACAGTGTTTACTGTAAAGGACATAAAACAGAAGTAGCCTATATGGGGCAAGGCACTAAATATAACATTCTAGATGTTAACATGAGACAAAAGTGGTAGAATTAATTATTTCAAATGCTGTAAGAACAATATAAAGACGGCAAAGATGGCGAGTTACGCAAAAGATACCGGAAATAACGTAACTATTCGAGAACTACTGTCAGTGTTTACATAAAGAAAATCCAGCTGTTTCGGTAAAACTAATCTGCCTTAAACTAGTCCCATAGCTAAAGGGTTGTTTAGACATCTTTAAAGCTCACATAACACCTATATTTCTGTGAAAATCGTTTATAAACCAATTAAATACAGCTGTAGTTTCAGTTATTGCATCATCTGGAATATTTTGCTCATAGATTTCAATTTTAAGTGCGTTACTGTAAATGCGCTTTTTTTTTTAAACCAGGCAACGAGTCGAAATGACTTTCTGTGATAATCGACAGCATTTTGTTTGACTACCTATATATCTGAAAAGCTTGTAGATGAACACGGTTTTACACTGACACGGGCAGCTCAAGTGTCTGAACTGGTCTGTCTGTCGTTTATTTCAACGCTGTAACATACAAACGCCCGCGTTTGCAAGCTGGCATAACATTTTGATGTGTTTTGATTTCATATCAGAAATACCGAGAGCGATCAGCCCAGCTTTTGTGAATTTGAAACCTGACCTTTTTAAAAGAGTAGCCTACCCTGTTGAAAAAAACAGCATTTGACGCTGTGATGCTGGTTTAAGCTGGTCCTTTGCTGGTTTAAGCTGGTCCTTTTGCTGGTTTAAGCTGGTCCTTTTGCT